GGAGGAGGAGGAGGAGGAGGAAAATCAGAACATGAAGACTTGAAGTTGAAGTTGAAGTTGAAGAAGAAGAACCTTAATCGCCTTTTAGACTCTCAGATGCTCTGCTGAAAACCCTTCGTTTAATAAAAGACACTGAAATTCGTTTTTAATTAAATAACCCGGCTTCTCTTTAAAACAAAGAAGCGGTCGCTTCCTTCGCATCGCTTCGCTTGGTCGCTTCTCGCTTTTTAGTGGGAAGCGGTCACTTTTTTCTACCTGAGTCGCTTCACATGGGGAAGCAGGCACTGAGTCGCTTCTCGCTTAAAGCGAGGAAGCGAGCGCTTTCTCTAACACTGATGATGTGTGAAAAAAAGCACTAGTTACAGAGGAGGAATGTAAATTGGACTAGGCATATTTACTGACAACCTAAGTGTATCAACATGTTAGATATAGACACTCGCACTAGAGCATGGAACTTTTTTGAAATTGCGGACGGTCATGAAATTTTCAAACTGATATGTATTAGACTATTATCTACATTAGTATTTCGTAGTAGTCTACCGGAAAAGCATTTAAAATTGTTTCCTTTATTTCAAATGAAATATTTACCTTTTATGTGTAGTCCATTATTATTTGAATTTACCTTAAGACATCTGCAAGTTCAGATACCATGTTGAAGTGTCACTATTTCATCTAAAAACTTAAGCTATTAGAGAGAGCACACTTTTATTTTCTTAATTATATCTTCAACAGTAACCTTGCGAAGTTAAGCATGGTGGTTCATTTGGGACGGATATTAGTTCAAATAAATGCTCTAAGATATAATGCATAGCATATAATTGAGGCAATGTCTAGACTTTTTGCCAAGATTTCGTTATTTATGATTTAATTTGGAAAAATGCTGAATTATCTGTATCTCAAGGGGTTTTATGTGGTTTTCTACGTGATAAGAAACTTTGGAGTATGCGTGCTTGATAAATCTGTCATTTTCAGAAAAGAGATCCCAACTGGTGCTTCTGTTTCAGGAAGGAAATGAGTGCGTATTATCTGGAGCATGCTAGTGTTGACCATATACAAAAACATTTTGATCTTTTTGAAGCAGAAGCTCGCCGTTTGCTTGATTTAGGCCTTGCAATACCTGCGTATGTACTTATATCTTAATAATTGTTTTTTTTTCAGGGAATAGAGAGAAGAAGAAATCGTGTTTTTCCTTCATCTGTTAACTTCTACATTGAATAACATTATTCCCTACACTGTGCTAGGTATGATCAGCTTTTGAAGACTTCTCATGCTTTCAACATTTTAGACTCGAGAGGCTTTGTTGGGGTGACAGAACGTGCTCGTTATTTTGGGCGTATGCGTAGGTAGACATTTTTATCACTTCCTTTAATTACTGTTCTTGTCGGAGAGTTTGTAGGGTGTTCTTAAGTTTTTTCATGAGGATTGAGCAGCCTACCTTTTAGGTCACATGTAAAAATTTGCTCACACAAGTTCCAAATTCTAGTATCGTGCTTAATATATATTCCCTATGTTCCATTTTTTATGGCACTTCTTTTTAGTCTGTTCTAAGGATATCTTTTGATGTCCGGAAAATCTTTAACTTTAAGCTTCCTTTTTTACGTCTAATTACATGTTCTAATAACCACAGAAAAGTCACATGTTTAAGACTACAAGTTCTAAGGGTACTTTTGGTGTGTGTCAAAAGTCTTTCTTTATTTCTTAAACTCCGTGCCCAATCAAACAAAGCCATGTAAAAAGAAATGGAGGGAGTAAATCTTTATTACAAAGAGAAGTCAGAACTACGGTGCCAAATTACTTTACTCTGAAAAAATTGGAAGTTTTCAAATGACACTTTTTCTTTGCCTGATTTTTGCCTCCCCTGTGCAGTTTAGCCCGTCAATGCGCACAGCTTTGGTTGAAGACAAGGGAGTCTCTTGGCTATCCACTGGGTGTTGTTTCTCAGTGTGATCATCTTCTTGTTCAAAGAGAAGTCTCGGAGGAGGCAGCAGGAAAGGTATGTTTTTTCGCTTTAGGCTTCGCTCGGAAACTAGAGAAAGCAAGGATATGTTAAAAAATTGCTTTCTCTTGCTTGGTTTATATAATGAGACAAAGCCCTTTTTTGGCCCCACAATTTTAGTTCAATAAGAAAATAAATTAAAAATCTCTTTCCTTTGTGATGTTTCTAGCAAACCAAACAATGAAAAGAAGCTGATATTCCTTTGCTTTTGTACTCTTTTATTTTCTCTTGTTTTTTTGACCTGTCTCATCCTTTCCCTAGTTTTGAAGCATAAAATCAGTTGGGCCCCTAATTTGCTGTGTGTCTGCCAAAATAGTTGTAGCTTCATCCCGTTTCTTTTATTGTTATTTTCTTCTATTAATTCTTCATGAACTATACTGGTCATCCTTTTCTATTGGGTCTATTTAGGCTTTCCCTTTCCTTCTCATTTTCCCACTTGGCTCTTTGCTCAATAGGATAAACATCTCCACTTTCTCTTAATTTACCTGGGTTGGAATTGAGTACTTTTGTGCATATTTTTTATGGTCTCTTGATGTGATCCAGAATATATTTATGGAACATTTACTTTCGTAACTTGCCAGATTTGCTTTCACATTCTCTTCATAACCTTTATATGTTTCTAAAGGATTATGTAAAATTGCTTGCACACCCTTTTCCGGTCATACAGGTGCCTTTGGAGCCGCAGTTGCTTGTTCTTGAAATTGGAACTGAGGAGTTGCCTCCAAACGATGTATCGAGTGCATGCAAGCAAGTAAATATCTTCTTTTCATGTGATTTTCATTTTGTTACTTGAAAATCTCTATTCCTGAAGTTTATATTGTAAATATGGTAAGCAAAGCGGGAAAAGAGAAACCAGGTCTACATTTTCTCTTGCCTTAATTTGTTGTGATGTCATCTGGTGTGACTTTTCAAGCAATTCAGCTTAGTTGGTCGTATTACTGCTCTGTTAAATCTGTTTTTTTGTTTTTTGTTTTTGTGCTGGTCATTGCAGCTCAAGGATCTGATTGTTCAGTTACTGGACAAACAAAGGTTGCCTCATGGGGAAGTACAAACGCATGGCACCCCACGAAGATTAGTGGTAGGATTTGTCTCATTCTGATTGGCCCCTTTTACATATTCTGTTATTCTGTTTTGCTTTGATAAGCTGTACGAAATGTCTATGAGAAAGGAGCTGGTAGGAAAAGGAGTGCAGTATCTTTTGAACATTTTATCTAGCATTCTCACTAAACTTTTTTGATTGTTCTCAGATCCATGTAACTTAAAAAAGGAAAAGATTGAACCAAGCCCCAATACATGCAACTTCTTGTTGAAACCTTTGCTAAAGCGGTTATATGTTACATGAGTTGTTCAATAAGAATAAAGCCAATATCAAATCCTGTATATGGTACAAGAGTTCTTAAAATAGTACAAAGTCAGTTTCTTCAGGATCTGTTTTTATGGAACGTCTAATATTTTTTAAAGAGTAAGACGAGTTCCAGAAAGTACAAACCCAAGTTCCTTTAAAAAAAAAAAATAGAATGTCTGGATAGGAAAATCCTCGAACTCAGCTGAGCTGGAGTTTCACTCTTTCCTCCCTTAGTTTCTATCTTTACGTGAGCATCATTTCGAACTTCCTCCATATTTATGTATTCCACCTCATCGGACACAGTGTAATTCCTGAGGTCCACAAAATTACATCCTCCTCCTCCTCCTCATCTTCTTTATCTTTTTTTCCTCATTGCCACTTCAATTTTCCCTTCTTAGATGGCTTCATGTTCGTTCTATAGTTGGAAGACGTCGCCGATGTGGCCGGTCTTTGCGACGTTCATTTAGTCCAACTTGGAGCTGACTCAGCTTCGCTTTCCTTGCTCGGTGCCTTGTGTATTCTTGGAACATATTGCCAGTCCATGCTCTCACGGTCTCCTAGTTAATCCATTTTGTCGTAATTCACTGGGTTGATTATGAGTCTCAGTAATTTGATAGTCAATAGTGTCCAAGACCTTCTCGTATTTTTTGGTATAGTTGATGCAAGGGATGCAATGAACCTCACTATGCGTTTCCAACAGTTCCTTGACTGATTTCTTGCTAAATGAATCGGGTTAATAAAAGTAATTACAATGTTTATATCGCTTATGGGTCTTTTCAAATGGCGCCATAGGCTTTGTGCTGACCTTGGAGGATTTATCTTTTCCACGAGTTAACTTAGTTCCTCCAAATTCTCGCTATTCACTGGTTTCTCTTCACCTTATAGATGCTGATAAAGATCATTTGCAGGTTAGCGTTGAGGAGCTATTTTCTAAGCAAGTGGAAAATGAGGTTGAGGTTCGTGGACCTCCTGTTTCAAAAGCTTTTGATAAGGAAGGAAATCCTACCAAGGTGGAGTGAATTGAATTTTGTTTATTCTTTTATTAGTTTATTCCGTATTACAATGTGCCTTAAGAAATATATTGGCATATTTTGCTTGTTTGTTAGACTTTGATTTGATTTTGGACAGAGCTTTAATCAAGTTTCTTATTTCGATGAATGTAAGATCAGTTTGTGTTTGCTAACTCATATTCGATATTATCAACTCATACAACTTTCAGGCTGCTGAAGGTTTTTGTCGCAGAAATGATGTGCCTTTAGACTCCATGTATAGACGAGCTGAAGGTAAGTTACATCAGATGAACATTCTTTCTATGTCAGTGTTTGTTCATGTGAATTCTGGTGTTCATTTAGTCTAACATATGCTATTCATAGAAAATACTTACGCTTAAATGTGGAAAACTACTTAGATTTGTTTTGTGATGTCTGATCTGCTATTTGTTATCTCTGACAACCTGAAAATTACTTACTAAAAAATCTGATAATTTTCTCTGAATTTTCTATTCCATTTTATCTTTTTATTTCAAAGTTTCAATGTCTGGTAAAGGATCTTGTACCTTCAAAAACCTTTGTTACCTTATCAATGTCTTAGCAGATATATGTTAAAATATCTGACAAAAGTATCTGTTATTCGAAGGTTGTCAACACTACAAGCAAATATGTCTTTGAATTTATTCACTTATATTCTCTGACTTGTGTCGGCTTGATCTTAGTGCCCTAAGTGTGTTAACAAAAATCTGCCATTTTGATTGGTGGTAATGCTTTTCTATTATTTTTCCTGTATCTTTTTTCCTTTTCTGATGTCTATGACCTGAAGTTTGGAATTATCATCATTGACCAGAAAAATTGATAGGAGGTGCATCTCCAGTTGACCTCAAGGCTAATTTGATGTTTTTTTCGATCTTATATCGGTCAAAGAGTCATTCACTTTGTAAAAATAAAATTTGTCTATTTAAAAAATACATGAAACCTACTATAAGTTGCAACTTTTTTCCATTTCAGAACGAGGATATATTTCATTATTTTGGTCACATATTGCTCCTTTGACTTGGGAGGTGAAAAAGACAACAATTCTGAGAAAGAATCAACACCTTTTTCTGTCTTTTTTTTTCTCCCCAACTTCCATAGATCTAAAGCTTATTAATGATCCCGATAAGGCCCTTCTAAATATGCCGCTCATGTGGAAATATACATAGCCAGAATCAACTTATGCAGAGCTTGTTAATTTACAAGATTGTCATTGCATTGCTAATATATTAGTGTTTCTGTGTCAATGGCTTACATGTTACTTGTTCGTGTGGCACCATCTATGCTACCAATGTTTGTGTTTTCGATGTTTACCTCTGATTGCAGGGAAAACAGAATATGTCTATGTTCGTTTGGTGGAGCCAGCACGGCTTGCCTTCGAGGTACACAGAGCAAATAAGTGTTTTGTGTATGTTTTCGTCAAAAAGTAAAATTTCCCTCTCAGCAACTAGCTAACTTTAGTAGGGTATATGACCAAGGCTACTGCTACAAATTACAGAGTTAATCATTGTTCCTTGTGATGTTTGGCTATATTTGATAACGATTGTATGAACAGGATAATGGAAATGGGTATATTACCTTTGTTCAAGTCCACGTAAGCGAATTGACTGCAAAATATTTCTGTCGCACATATACACCTAGAAGAGTGTTATTTAGAGTAGCATTTTTTGATGTTCATGATTGGCATCAAGCTCCATCAAAATGGTGTGGCTTCTTTTCTTCTGAAGCTTTCTCCGTCTGTTTGTGTGTCAATCTTGCTTTTTAACCCTTTTGCATAAGCATCCTGCATGCAACCAAAGATATTCTGTTACTCAATTTTCTTCTTTCATTTTGAGTTATCTGAGGATGAGGCTCACCTTCCTAACGACGTTCACTATTATTATAGTTTATGCTGAGGCTTCAAGTGATTTGCAGTAACGCGAGGTCATAGGACTTGGAGAAATACCATTTTGAAATAGCTAGAAATAGAATAAGAGGCTGAAAACACTATGTTCCCGCAAGAAGTAGCTGGTGGGTAGGAAGTGTATAGATATATCATCATATGCTTGTTCATGTTAGTAATTTCTGATGCAGAGGTGTCTCAACTACTACATTTCAAGCACATAATGCTATGGTTCAGGTA